GATGAGCTGATTTTTGATTCGCAGCTAAAATTTTCTTGAACATACAAACATAGAGAAGCAAAAAAAACAAATCGATTACTATCTTGAATTGTTAATAATGTTAATGCATTTCGTGTGTACATACATTAATTAACCTTATCTAACATATTAAAAAGTAAATGTTAAAGTAATGTGCAGTCAATTTAACTCGACTTGCAAAATTCACTTAAAAAACACTGAATATCTGCAAAGTGTTTACACCGGTGGTCACGGTTACCGCCGCGCAGCACTGAAAGACAGTGGGAGTAGCGCATATTTAGTTTAGTCCCACCGTAAGAAATATGGCAAAAGTTGTTCACCGCATTTTTTCTTAATAAACTTAATTTGTTGAGGTATGGTGTAAAATTTTGTTACTGTTATGTTTGCTGTAGTTTTTAAAAAATTGTAAAATTATAAATTGATTGTAGCATTTGCAATACTATCTATTGAAAAACCAATGGTGCGAGAAATACCAAACTCTAATGAAATAATTGAAAAGTTTACTGCAGACAAAAGCAGAAGAATGGACTTTTACTATATAAAATAATGTACGCAGTACATTTCAATAGCACATAAAATAAAACTACCCAATTATATTCGATTCTTTTTTCAATATGTACTTTATATTTAAATTTTTCCGTCTTCCCTGGTATGGAAGACAAGAGTCGCCACTGCTCTTAAAGTATTTGAACACCTTGGTGCAAGAAGGGGATAAGTGCATAATTTTGAAAAATTAAATTTCTGTAGGTGTGTAGGGTACACACCTACACACCTTTTATTTGGTGGAAATGTAGAAACAGTTGAACATTGAACTATAAGATAAAAGCACTTTTTCCGTTCTGGCATTACAGATGTCGGTTTTTTTTCACTTGGTGTTTGTTTCAATTATTTGTTTGTCTCAAATATTATTATTCCAACGTACCTATTCAGATATCCCATTCATTCTTGCATCATAAATTGGATACATAAATATTTTTTTTGGATATTATTATCATTACTTTGTAAGAATAAGAACTTTATTATTGATAATTCGATATCCTATATCAAATCAAAAAAGTTGCTAGGGAAAATACTCTCTTATAACCGTGGAGGGGTTGCAAGATACAGACACTAAGCTTTGCTGGAATGTTGGCTATTCACAGACATGAAGCACCATCTACCATATTGCAAGGAGAATTACAGTTTACAGAGACCTTGAATAAGATAATAAAAATTATAGTGGATCAAAACATAAATTTGGATAAAAGTTTTTTTAGCAGTAATTTTTCATTCAAAAAAAAAATAAATAAAATAATTTAATATTATCTATTAAAGAGTAATATTAAATTTTAGATTAATTATGTGTAATTAAATTAACATTAAAATAAGTAGGTACTTTTAGGTACCTAACCACAGTACGAAATTGCAAGTAAAAAAATAAACAATTTTTCAGAAAATTAACACTTCTAATACTTTATTATTATGATATGTTTACGAAATAATACTTAACACCGAGATTTCTTTGGCCACATTTTATTATTTTAACCGGTGAACTATAAAAATTCTTATTTGACACATTTCTCCAAACTAATACATCCGTTCAGTTATAATATTTGTAGGTATTGATTCTTATCAAATTTTACAGAAGATGAAAAAATTACTAATACCTAAATATTTTCAACATGAGACGTCAGCTAAACATATATGACATTGGCAATGCGGGAAACTTTGAAATGAAGTACTAAACAGTGTTTAGAAAGATTAGTGTAGACATTATAATGACAAGAGGTAGATGTTTGCACATTCAAAGTAAAAATATTGATTGTCCACTTATACATGCACATGCGCAAAGGAATTCATTTTTAAACATCAAAAATTTTCTTATGGTTAAGCAGTTCCAAACACAGATTCATATTTTGCTCACGTTCATGCGCGAAATCTCTGAATAAAACGTTTAACATAGTTACAACATATACGACTCACGTAATTTAATTAGAACAATGCCATTTATTTAATTTTAAATAATTCTTAAGGGTTTAATTGAAGCCCTTAATTTATGGCACTAATCTGAAATTTCCGCTGTAGGTCTTTACGTCAAAATCAAATTGTGCCTTCATTTAAATTTTCGAACGCGTCAAGTTGGATATTGATTGATTGACTTTTTAACCGTAAATTGGGTGGGTTGGATAGTAGGAGGGTTTATTGTATTTTGTAGGAAATATTTGAGATTATATAAAAAAGGTAAGATATTGTTTTATAAGAGAACAGAATAATAGCAACCTAAAGTATATGTCACACGCGTATCTTACATTGTTCTCACTCGTAAACGACTACTGAAGCGTTTTTAAATGCAAAATAATTAAGTGCAAAGAATGGGTCGAGTTACTACTGGAGATAAGGATGCAAGATCAAAGGAATGTAGAAATATAACAGGTGACTATAAACGACGCATATGGTGAAAATAAGTGAATATTATAATTATGTTGTTTAATATATTTTTAAAAAGAATCATCTACTAATTATACGAAAAAAATAAAAATCTTAGAAATTAATTATTAAAGCAAATTGTGGACATTTTCATAGGGCGCTATCTAACGGTTGGCAAGACCGATTTACGACATTTGAAGTACATCCACAAACCTAGGGATTTTTATAGATTTTCTAGACTCTAGAAATCTCCTTTCATTTGGATCATATCTGATCAAATCCAAATCACCATTTGTCATTAAAAAGGATAATACGTAGTAGGTGGTAGTGGAAAATACTGAAAATAGTACCTAATCGGTCGATAGCCGCACGGTTTAAAGGCGTCGTCAGTCCTTTAATCATGTGCAAATTTCTGCCCGGGTTCGATTCCCGCGGCTGGTAGACCGTAGATTAGCTATGCTTGTTCGGAGGATTGGCACCCTCTGTGCAGGTATGGTAGGGTGGAAGAATGTTGGCTTGGGTCAATGTGAGAGATTGACACCGGTTGGCATTTGACCACCCCCCTAATTAATGAGGTTTTCCAGGTTTCCCTCATTCATGCACTGAATTAATGGTGGTTAGGGCCTACCAACATAAGTCGTTCCTGGGCGCAAATGCGGCCTGCCTAATAATAATATGCCGCCTCCTCTCCCGCACAAGTCTCCGACTTATGGGCTAATTACCGTAATTAGAATGAGGAGTAGAGATATTATTATTATTATTATATTATATATTTTGCAGCCAGAGACCAAAATGTCGCTTTTTTCGTCAGTTAAAAATAGTCGAGTTCATATATGCGAAACCACATATATACCACAAATTTCGAAATTGTGCATACTAGCCATGTTTTACATATTTACCTATGATCTTAGCTAATAATGTTTAGTTTATATTTAAAATAGCCAGTCACAACTCTGTATTATATTTTTTGTGGTCACAACAGTAACCGCAAATTCGCAATCATATGAGCCTGCTGGCTCAATCAGAATGAAATATTTTTTATCAAAAAGAGTCCAATAGCTATAAATTTCAAATTATGAGTCTTCTGTGATTTTAAATAAGGTGCTAATTTTGGAAAAAATTAATTTTGTTTGATAATGCATTATTCTCCCCCTTCCCCCAAATTTAATTTATTTTATTATTCAGTTTGAAAATGATTTTTATTTTCATTTAAAAAGAACTGCATGGAAAAATTGTATATAAGCATCCTGTATAATATTCAACAAGGATTCCACCATTTAATTCATATTGTAATTAAATTGAGCAGTTAAATTCTCGTTATTAACCATAATTTTTATATTTTTTCACAGTGCTACAAGTCAGAGTGAACAAGGTGTCTGGAAATGAACTGACCTCAAGGGTAGTTTCCATTAGATGATATCAAATTAATTTCGTAAATGTTTGGTTCCCTATACCATTGAGTTTATAAGATCAGATATATATTCCAATCTAATTAGAGTTTGAACGTGAAAAAATTATTACATAGTAGACATTTTATTGCACATTTTGACGAGGAAGGTTGTGTAGAATTGTGAATATCAAAAAAGTAGGTAACTCAAAAGGAGTAACGCTAAGTTGGCAATTTGCAAATAAGTTGCACATTTAAGTATTTCTTCACTTTTTTTACTGCCCACAAAAATCTAGATGACCTATCGGACAATCTAGTCATCATATTTTACTAATATTTGTTAACTGTCAAATAAATGTTGAATGCGGAAAAATTAGTTTTCGAAAATTACACATTATTGTTGTAAAGACATGGACGTTGAAGAAATTTATGGAAAAGAGGGTCAACACAAGGACCAACGTATGTGCCAAAGGCCGATTCGATTGACCGTGAAATTGTTGCTCCAGGTATTTGTTAATTAATTTCATTGGTTTGTTTGCAACTAATTTCTTAATTAGTAAACGTTAATTTTAGAATTTAAAGTCGTATATGTAGGTTCTAATTGATGCATAAAAGCGTATCAAAAAAAAAAATTCAAAAAGTTGAAATTAAGTTGTCCTTTACAACTAACAAAGTAGGACGTGCAAAACAGCGTTATAAACAAATTGTTCCAAGATCAGGCAAAAGCCGCTCGGGAATTTGCTCCTTTTGTATTAAGTAGAGCTTGTTTTTACAGTAATTTAAAAAAAAACAGAGAAATCACCTATGCCTCTGTTCCCAAGATAGCTTTTTTATAACGCTGATTGTTAGTTAACTATTGGACGTATCGGACCGGAATTTTAAAGACAAAGAAAGGGTTATTAAACTTTTATTTTCAGAAAGTTTTACATTGATAGTTCTGAGTTCATGTAATAAATGCGCCAGCAGTAGTAAAAGTTAACATTAATGGACGTCCAACACGCGCGAAAATGAGCGCAAGGCCCGCGCATGCGCGTGAACGTCGCTCTCGACCGCACTCGAGATTTTTGAACGTTTAAAATTCAGTTCAAGTTTTAGTAGACATTTGATTCGTACCTTCTGAAGAAGTGATATAACGAGAAACTTTTGTAGTTGAGTGGAATGAAACGGAAAACCTTTTCATATTTTACAAAAACTTTTATTACAAAAAAGAATTGTCACAAAAATACTTGTGAGGTTTGTACCTAGATATTAAAATTACCTTATACTTTATAGTCAGTGTTAATAAAATAACTTTATAATGTTCAAGGACACTTTCGATCTATCTGAGCCTTGCCCGCTTCTTGATATTCCTGCATGGACATCCACATCTGTTGAAAAGTTCCTATAGATGCCAGTATAGATCCTCCCACCCAAGAACCGAATCTCCTTTCCACAGTTCCATTCGCAGCTATCATTTTCAATCGCATCGAGCTGGGAGTTCTTGAGGATAAATCTCGACTCAAACGATCACTGAAACCCTGCAAATTTATATGTTACTACTATATAATACACATAGTGTCATTTTAGCAAAGCAATCCTCTGCTAAGTTCAAAATTAGTGAATATCATTGTTATAACATAACTAATCATATAGAATTGTAGGTGTAGGTGTTTACATAATAAATAAAAACAAATGAAATTTATATATTGTTTATTTAACTGACCCTAAAAACGTGAATATTTAGAAATTATAATTTTGGGTATGATTCAAAATGTAAATGGTCCCATAGTCACTTTTTAAATTTACGGGTATTATTTTTTAATGATTTTTTTCTGTCCATCCACTTATACATTTTGAGAACCACTGTTTCCTTGAAAGATAATCATTTACGTATGTATACAAATGAAATCCAAGTTTCCAAGTCATGCGTCAAGAAAATTATTTACAATAAGACTACAATATTTTAGTTATACTACAGGTTAAATCTAATTCTAATGCACTGTTAGTCCGGTCAAATTAGTCATAAAAATAGTGGTCAAATAACGAAAATTCCGACTGAGCTAAATTTTGGTGGACACCTTGGATACACCATTAGAAATAAAGTGTCAAAAGTCCCCACCGATCCCATGTGTGCTAAAAAAGTTATTCGGGGTCAAAGGTCAAAATTTGAGGTTTTTTGGATTTTTTTCGAAAAGTTTTATCAAAAAAGTAGCTCAGACAAAAATTATAGATCTGAAAATTATCTACAAAAATGGTCCTTATACTTTTTGTTTAAGAACCACCATTCCTGAGATATCGCGATTCTAAAAGTTGAAGGAGTCACGTTCTACATGATATGCACATACAGTGTAGGAAAGTACCGATGGTCTATCAGAAGTTACGTGAGAGCGATAAAGTAAGCCATAGAAATCCATGTGATAGACAAGGATGGCTATAATGAAGGCGTCTAATAGTCAACGCCCATTTCGCCCTTCCACAAATAAGAAGTGGATCTTATTTGTGGAAGGGCGAAACGGGCAGTGATTATGAGAAGCCTTCATTATAGCCATCCTTCTCTATCGCATGGATTTCTATGGCTTACTTTATCGCTCTTACGTAACTTCAGATAGACCATCGGTACTTTACTACCCTGTATATGTCACATATATACAGTCAGACACTTAATGCAAGTAAAAATGCCTATCTGTGTGTCTTGTATGTATAAACTATACTATTCTGAGAATATACACTCAAAAGAAACTCCCTTAATCAAAATGACGCAGATGTCCTTATAATTGAAACAGCAATAGAACAATTTCATGCAACAAATACAACTATTGTAGTTGGTGAAGATGTTGACTTATTAATACTACTCACTGCAAGGACTCCAATTGATAAAATTATATACTTTTTAAAACCTGGAAAGGCTCAACAGCGAACAGAAATATATTCTTCAAAAAGTTTATCTGCTTATCCAAAATGTCAAAACCATATCTTATTTTTACATGCGATAACCGGCTGCGATACTACATCAGCAATGTTCAGAAGGGGTAAAACATCAGTATTAAAATTATTTGGAAAAAATATTTGATTGATTGCAGAAATTGATTCTTCACCTCAAACAATAATCACAAAGGGAATTTACTTTCTCCTTGCTGTTAAGGAGCTCCAAAAAAAATTGATTGTATAGATAAATTTAGATACTTAACTTCTGTAAAAAATACACGAAACAAGAAACAAGTACAACTATCTTGTCTTCCTCCAGCATCGGCTTCCGCTAATCAACACTTGTATCGAGTATACTATCAAGTTCAGACATGACTAGACAATCAACTGAACCCAGAAGACTGGGGTTGGAAATTAACAGATAATACTTTGGAACCGATTCAAACTTTACTTCCACCTGCTCTGGAAAAACTCCTAAACACTATTTTTTGCAATTGCAAAAAAGGTTGTAGTGCTAAATGTGGCTGTAGAAGAGTAGGGTTACTGTGTTCTCCAGCGTGTACTAATTGCCAAAGCCAGTCTTGCTCAAATGTCCAATTGAATACAACAGACGAAGATTCATGTGATTTCGATGAAGAGACAGCTGATTCATCTTCATTTGAACAATTTATGAACATCCAGCAAGAAGAAGAGGAAGAAGAAGAAGAAATCGAAGAAGACATGACTGTTGAAGTCGACTTTGAAGAGTATGAATCAGATTAAAATATCAAAAGAAATCAGAACTACAGTTAAAGTCAATAACCAATATCAATAATCATCATAATGATAATCGTAATGTTTGTTTCAAGAATCATGTGAATAATGAAAAAATTATATTTACATATTTATAAATAAGTTTATAAGCCAAATGTAAATAACAGGACATTGCCGTATTTAGTTTTTTTCTTCCTATTTCATGTTAAGAGTTGTAAGATTGGCAATACTGTATAATATTTTTTTCAGAATAGACAAATAATGTAAAGCGTAAATGTCGCAAAAAAGTTGATCATTCTCAAGAATTTTTTACAAAAAAAATTGTGCATTTTTATTTTAAATTTCACTTGTTTATTCATATTTTATATTTATTAAGCAATAATTATAATAATGTACCTGAACTAAGGAATTTCCTCCAGTCAAAACGACTGAACTATACAGTGCTGGCCTGATATCAACGTCACACATTCCAGCACTTGTTGCAGCTGCAAAATAATAGAGAAAATAATGTAAGTGAATTCTTATATAACCCTATAGGGTTTTATTTAAATTGTCATTAAATTTAAATTTTCAAACAAGAAATCATAAAAAATCCATTTTTTTTTTACCTATGTATCCTGCTCCTAACATAGCATGATCAAATAATCCTTCGGCTAATTTGAATCTTTCAGGACCAAAGTCTTGATGATAACCAGTGGGGAATTCATAATGCACGGCAGGTATATTCGCTGCTGCTCTTTCATCGTATGGATTTTCCGACACCTTTAAAATAAGCGGAACATATTCATTAGTTTCAGATTCGTTTACTTTTTGTCGCAACAAAACAATGAAAGTATATTAACGAGTAAAACAAAAGAAACTTAAATTCTACCTGTAATACAGTTTGCTGAAAATCCTGTACAGTTCTTTTCACCATATAAGTCATCCACGAATTGGTTGGTGGAAAAGATAGCTTTTTCTTTACATACCTCGGTTTATCCTTATCTCTGACTACTTCTTTGCTTGCAATTAGAGCTGCAGGAGCTAAATCGATACCCATGCTTTCCAGCAATTCTCTAGCTCTGAGAATTAGGTAGTCACCACCTAAAGGTGATTTAACAACTGCGTTTGATATGACGTAACCATCTAAGACAGGTACAGCTGTAGTATGAGTTGCTCCACTATCGATTACCAATGCAGTAGCTCTTCCGTTAGCAAACGCAGCTAGAGCAGCATTTTTAACTAAGAAAAATGCTGGCACTTTATATTTCTCGAACATAATTTCTGTTAATTTTTCTCTTTTTTGTCTTTGATTCCATGGAGATTCAGAAAAGAGAACTGGATGATACTGGGATTCTGACTGTATTATCTGGAAAACAAATTTGTTTTGAATATTAATGTCCTTTATCAAAAACAAAAAAATAAATGGCAAACAATTTGTAAGGTAAACTTTAAATTTAGAAACTAATTATATAAATTCAAATATACACTAATTTTACCTTATCATATGAATAATCCATAATTTTTTCAAACATATCCCAGTTTTCTATCATGCCATCTTTCATGTAACTATGTATTTCCATATTCGGCCGGGGAGTATGTAAATATATTGTATCAATAAAGTACTTATATGCTGAAATAGAACGTATAATAAAAATTATGTATAAAGTACATATTAAGTACAATTTAATATACAAAATGATTTATTTTAAATGCACTTCAACACAAGGCAAAATGTCCGCAAATGCTCTTGCCTGAATAATATAAAAAAATAATAAAACATAAATAATAGGTACNACAAAATGATTTATTTTAAATGCACTTCAACACAAGGCAATATGTCCGCAAATGCTCTTGCCTGAATAATATAAAAAAATAATAAAACATAAATAATAGGTACATAAATTAATAGATAATTAGGTATATCAACTAATGAACACAAATAAGTTTTGGCTCGGCAGCTTTTCTCTACTTCTGTTATTTCTTTATGAAATGGATTAAAAAAATGTGAATTTACAACTTGATCCAGAAAACAACAGAACATACAATATTGATTGGATGAAACACTGTTTTCTTCGGGTTTTACTTCAGGTTCCAATTTTGGAGATTCATCAGGAGCTACGCCGACTATAGCCGGTATTTCAGCTTTTGGAGTGTCTTCTTGAGCGTACCCAACTCGCAAAGAATGATGACCAGGATCAAACACTAGAGCTCCAATTTCATCTCCACCATATAACATTCCTCCAGACATTTTAACAAAATATGTTTATTTATATAAAAAAGGTCCAAAACAAATTGAAAAATATACAAACATAAAAATCTAGGTTATACACTTGTTTTGACATTTGACGTCATTGTCATCTAACCATACATGGAGACTATACAAGGCATGGCTGTGCAACTAGCATTGCCAGATTCGCAACAGGGAGGGGATGGAGCTTGTCCAGACACACGAAGAACGGGGTTAAGAAAAGGAAGTAACTTTAAGTTTGTTACGTTTGTTACAAGTTTTTTCACTATGTAAAATCTAGTGTCTTTAAATTTTTTACTAACTTTTCCACACTGAAATTCACGACTCACGTTTGTTTAGCATGACGTTTTTCTTGATTATATTATGTATTTGTAGTAAGTATGAGAAAAATATTGGAAGTTTTGGCAAAAAGGTAAGTAAATATTAAATTGAGTTTTCCAATTAAATATAGTGAAAAGGGTTATGTTTGTTTACACACAAAAGGAAAATATTTATTATTTATTTATGATGTCAAAACATTCATATTCTTANACCCACTATTCGGTCAAGTTGTAATATAGAACTGCTGGACATCATTAGATTGAAAATGCAGATCACAAACGTACTGTTTTATTTTAAATCTGTTGACAGTCATTCACTTCACATACTATTACCATATTTAAATTATTTTCGAAACTTTTTATTTACCATTTATAAAAACAAATTGTAATAATTATTGACTTGACTTCTAGTTTTTAGGTTTAGTATACCTCCCCGCTCCCAATATATCTACTAAACTCCATATAAATAAAATTTAAATAAAATTGGTTATTTGCTTACTTCACTCGTATTTGTGAAGCTACATTCATTTGGCACATATGGAACACTAGCGCCACCTCGACTTCTGCCATTTCTTTGACAAATTTTGTCAATTTTTCCGTATGAGTTCGTGCTCCTTATCTAGTCTCCATGTAACCATAGATAAAA